ATATTCTAACTTCTTATAAAAAAATTCATAAGCCTTGTATTTAGGCTCATTAACCGATCTTTTGCTTCTTACCTTGTTAACTTATATTTCTCAAAGTTTTTCTTGCTCCTACATTTTTACCAATTTTATATAGTGTTTTCTTCTCCCTGGTCGTTTTTTGATATTCTAACTTCTTATAAAAAAATTCATAAGCCTTGTATTTAGGCTCATTAACCGATCTTTTGCTTCTTACCTTGTTAACTTATATTTCTCAAAGTTTTTCTTGCTCCTACATTTTTACCAATTTTATATAGTGTTTTCTTCTCCCTGGTCGTTTTTTGTACTTTTTCATTCCACCACCAACTCTTCTTACTATCTAACCTACAACCCTTGGATTCTCGTAGAATATCCTTAGCCACCTTCTTAACACAAGAGGACACATTATTTCACATAATATTAGTCTCATTATTTATATTCTAAATATCTTTTTTCATCATCTTATCTTTAAAAAGTTTTAAGTTCTTTCCTTTTAAGTTCCACCATTTAATTCTTAATTTTTTGTTCATACTAATTTTCCTACTCCACTTTTTAATAGAAAAGTCTAATACCATCAACCTATGTTGTGTAGCTAAACTTTCTCCGATTATAATTTTATAATTTTTGCATGTTAATCTATCCACCTTTCTAGTAAGAAAAGAGTCTATTTGACTACTATCAGATCCACTTTTAAAGATTACTAGTATCGTGTACGTGCGTTGCACGTAGGCACACTTGTTGATCAATTTTTTGGAATTCTTTTGGTTCTATTAGGTTAGGAAGTGAATAGTTATTAAGATATTATAGTAATTAATAAAGAATTAATATTTATTCAATGAAATAAGACTTAATGCATAAAGATTAAATGGGTATATTTGTAGGAGGTCATGAATAAGTTATTTTTATCGAAAACGACTTAATGCATAAAGATTAAATGGGTATATTTGTAGGAGGTCATGAATAAGTTATTTTTATCGAAAACAATAACTCTCTGCATAGATTTGTAGGAGGTCATGAATAAGTTATTTTTATCGAAAACAATAACTCTCTGCATAGAAAATTAGCTTAAATATTTTTCTATTATAAAATATAAACTACTTGTAAAGCAAGAAGCTCAAGTATATTTACATGAGAGAGAGGAATGTCATTTTGAAATTATCTTTCTAGAAATTATCTTTATAGAAATTATTAAACCTTCTCTAGTTTATTATTAGCTCTTAGAGTCCTCCAATTTCTATTTGATACTTGCAATTTATATCTCTAAAATTGTATTTCAAGGGTATTAAGTACTAGTATATTGAGGAGGATTTAGTGAAACTCAAGATATAGAAGAGGGAATTATGTATAATTTTCCCTATTTGTTATAATAATGCAATTTACAGATGGTTAATGGAGAAATAGGTAACCCTTCATGAATGTGTTCCTTATTGAAGGNNGGGGGGGGGGGGGGGGGGGGGGTTAAGAAGACAATGGAATAATGAAAAGTTGACGACTTTTCATATTACTGTAATGTTATGTTATATATTTACTTATTTGAATTGGTAAATAAATAACTTTTTACTCATATTATATTTGATACTTGCACATAGTTAATAATTCATATAAATATTATATATTAATGTGATATCAATATATATTATAATTATCATACATTAACTATTATACTCAACTAGTAGATTAATAGTAGAAAATTAATAATTAATAGCAGAAAATTCATAATACTCTTAAAATTGTAGTAGTAATCCATTCTATAACATCCTCAGGACCAACTAACTATATCATTTTCTAAATTGATCTTCCTGCACTTTCTATTTGTCATTTATAACCCAATAATATTAATGCATTACCTTAGTGACCATAAATCAAAAATTAATCCTTTACACATATAGAGTGAAAGCAATTACACTTATAATGCATTGTCATGGACAAAGCTTTCTTTATCCCGAGAATAAGCATAATGCATTAATGGATTCAACCAAACTATACAAACAATTTAGCATATTTACAAACATGCATAGGAGTTGGAAACCAATTTACATGCTAAGGCAAAAACATATACGAAGATAGAAGGGGAAAACCACTTAGTTTATGACTGAAATAGCTACAGATTTTGATAAAATACAGGATCACCTTCTTTATCGCATTCACCAGTTTTTTCTCTGCTCTCTAAATTGTTACACCGATGCTTTCATTACCATCTCCTCATTCAATTCGATTGTACTCCACCAGTGATGTTACCATTGACACACTCACACTTTTTACGGTTTATAAGTGTTGTAGTTGTGTCTCCTTACTTTTCAATATGAATAAATTTTGATTAAAAGTTAAAATATTGGTTAGAGAAATTTGATAAGATTCTATAGTAATTTATAGTGATTTATGAAAGATGAATAGTTGTAACGTTTTTCATTATTAGTATGTAATGTCAAGACTTAGTGGGGGAATGTTATAATAGTAATTTATAGTGATTTATGAAAGATGAATAGTTGTAACGTTTTTCATTATTAGTGTGTAATGTCGACTTAGTGGGGGAATGTTATTAGTGGGTGGTTAAATGAAAATTTGATGCTAATAAATAGGGAGGTTATGAAAAATTAAGTATGTATATCTTAATGTATGCATGTATGGATGTGCTAGAGATGTATGCATGTATGTGGTTTGGAGGGTATTTTTGGAAGAAATATTTTAACATGACAACACACTTTTATAATAGTATTAGATTAGATTAGATTAGATTAAGTGTTCATCCCTTTTTCTAAATGTGTATTTACTATTATCAAATCATATGATGTTGCAAACTTGTTGCAAACTTTAAAATTAATTCTCTCATGTCGTTCTTAATTCCATGTCCAAACCCTCCGTTTATCCTCTCATATCCATTATTATCCTTGCCTACATGCCTATTACAGCCTCCCCTTATAAATAATTTTTCTAGTAATGGAATTCCTTGAATCAATTCATCTAACTTATCCCAAAAATCTCTTTTAGTATTCTCGAGCAACCCTACTTGTGGAGCGTAAGCGCTAAATATTAATAACCTCTACTCTCAAAATAATTTTTAACATGTAAAATATTATCTTTTATTATGTTATCTACAAGTGCTCCCACTCCATTTCTATTCTTTTCTTTTCCCGAGTGCCAAAGTTTACATTCCATCTTTTCAATTTCTCTAGATTTTTCACCTATCCATTTAGTTTTCTATAAACAAATTATACTAATCTTTCTTCTAGGCATTATATCTATTAATTCCATTGTCTTTCCAGTAGGTATATCTATAATCCATTTGTGTGTGTGTATAACACAAATACGCCTTTCATCCCTATGCGCGCTTGCTATGTAATCTGAGTTCAGACGAATTACGATAAAAGAACATCATCATCTCAACGTTGATAAAACACGGCTATCACACAAAAGAAGAGTATCTGTTTTCCCGTTCCCTTTCACTCATCACCCAGATATTGACCAACAAACGCAGAGATAATTACAAGCAAATATGCACCATGAAATCTCATAACGATTCACACGGTCTTATATCACAGGACACAAATAACATCAATCACGCATTTCAACTCAAAAAACAGATAAAAAGAGAGAGGAGGAGGAAGGGTTAGTATCAAAAAGGTTTTGTGATAATCCAGCTACACTCCTAACTTCGTATCTCATTTACAAAAGAGCAAACAGATACAGCAAAACGACAATAAGAAAAACAAAAGGACAAAACATGGAATCTGGATACATCACAAGCAACCCGCTTTCTGAAAACATATAACCATCCCATATATCCTATAGCAAACATCAACTTGGCAATTCTACAAGTTTTCGCATTAAATATTTTAAAAGGAATGAATAAAGGAAAAAGAGGAATCTTGAAATAGGTACATTATCATTTTTATCGCCCTTAAAAGAGGAATCAGGGTTCCAGCTTCAAGGAGACGACCCGCGATTGCCTATTACGCTTGGCAACCCTTACAAACACCACCGACAAACACGAGGGGGCCCACCAAGGCCTGCGAACTTCTTGCTCCCCTTTCAGGCATGCAACTGTAAAATACATACCATAATAATTGAGTAAACTTAATGCTTTATGTCAACGTGGGGGTTAGGAATTTGACAGCAATTCTATAACCCAAAAACCACCACAAGTATATCCAGATGTAAGTTATCAGATAAAATAAATAGACAACTGCAAATCGAAGGTATGACAAAGTTGATTTTGAACTGGTTCGCTTGTAACAAAGTAAATTTCTGTTCTCAATAAAAGTTACTAGTGTGCACCCCGTGCAAAGCACAGACCCTTTTTTTATTTTTGCTACAGCAATTCTTTTTTAAGTGCTAGTGCATCTTTTAAAATGCTACAGTATTCTGTTTGTACTACAATAGTAATGCTACAGTAATACACTATATTGTTTAATGTGGCATGAATAGTGAATCTTTGGATCCTCCTATCCTATAAGTATGGAGGAGTAGATTTACTTGCCCTAGAATGAATAAACTGATGCCCTTCTTTATATTGTTTTGATTATTTTGAACTATCTAGTTAGCTCTTAAAGTGATTACCCACAAAAGAAGAGAACAGAACAATGCATATCTATAATCACCTTTGTTAGTAGATTTTTAGAAAATAAGGCCCCAGGCCCTATTGCCTAAACTATTAACTTTCCGTCATACTCCTTGAACTATTTTTAGTCCCATCTTACCCCCAGAATTAGTGAATTCATTGTTGTTTACCTCTCAACTTTTTCAGTCCCACCTTAGCCCCTGAATTATTAACTTGCCTTGATACTCCTAGAACTATTTTTGGTCTCATCATGCCCCCTATATTATTAAATTCATTGTTGTTTACCCTTGAACTATTTTCAATCCCAACTTACCCCCTAAACTATCACTTTCCTCTCATAATTTGATTTAAATACCCATAAAGAAAAGTGATAGTTTAGAGTATAAGGTGATAACTAGGTCCCGCAACCGCAAGTGATAGCTAAGAGCGTAAAGTGAGACTTAAAACAGTTCAGGGGGTTAGACATGAACAAATTTAAATTTCAAGGGTACAATGAGACTAAAAACAGTTCACGGGGTATGTGGGGACAAAGTTAATAGTTCAGGGGGCAAGTAATGCGTGAAGCCAAAAAAAATAAAGATACTAAAAAATAATAATACTCATGGAGGGGAGTTTCTTCTTAAATCCTCCACCAACTAGGTCCATAAAGGGATGCACTTGAATGGGTGAACCCAGCCAACCAGATAGATCTAATATCAAGTTGTATCAATTTCCCTAAGAGCAAAGATAGACAGGGTGAATAATACTTGATTGAAGCTGGGTTGAATATAGATTCGGATCAAAACTAGCTATAGTTTTGAATAGAATAGTTCATATCATGTATACATCAAGATTTAAAGCGTATGCTCGCACACTTTCTGAATACTTTTTGGTCATTTAACCTGATGAGAAACCATTCAGAGATACACCAAGTTGGCAGAGATCACCATCCAATAAAACTAGTAACTAAACATATGCCTGAAATAATTAGTTTGCAGTTTGGGAGCATCAACCTGATGCTGGGCTTTACTTGAATGGGAAGTATATCTCAAGTTGCCAGGCCAGGAAGAGTACCTTCAGGCAATATAAGGATAAAGCTGAGAAGGAAAGGTATATGTCTGACTAAAGTTATAGCAAAACATATTAGTATACAACTCTTCCCTATTGTCTATTTAATATCTACAATGATATTTTTTTCATATATGTACTCATGCAGATGTCTCTTGGAATTTATGAAATGTACCTCAACTAAATTGTATTTGCTGAATGGTAAATCAACTCCAACTGATAGCTAAACAAATGGCATGATAATGCAAATCCTCTATTGCATCCCAACTAAGAGGTGCTGTCTGAACAAATTCTCAAATCTACTAATGGCTAACCATGTGATATTGGGAGAACAAAATTCTAACAATATGCAATAATGTAAACAAATGATAATATAAGTACTTAAACCAGAAAAGGACATAAACCTTTGATGCGTCTTAGCTCCTTGCAAAGAGTGATAAAATCCCCCCACTTCATGTGGCATCGCCTTATAAACCGAAGGATTTGTTCTGTTGTGAACATGGATAAGCTCTCCAAGTATTCTCCATTGACACCATTATCTTCAAAAACCTGGCGGTAACTACCAAGATTTATTTCTTCCAGCCACAAACCAACATCCTGAAATCATAGTCAAACTGTCAGTGACAAGGAGTGGACTCAAAAATTTCTAGTTCTTTTTTTTATCATAAGTTGTTCTATGCAAATTGACATAAAAAATCGCTGTTCAACATCAGCCGGATGTGTTACGTGCGTAGTCAGGTTAGATGAGTTTCATTCCATGAGGAGACTTTCCAAGGTTTATAATCTAATTTTTTTTCAAAGCATCTTGGACTATGCATTTCATTCCAAAGCAGCAAAGCCTACCGGTACATATCATCAGATAGGGGCAAGGTTTTAAATATCGGATGTCGGGTTCATGTCGCTCGGCCAAAATTCATGTCGGATAGCGAAAATCGGAGATATATCGGGGGACATGAAAAAAATATCGGATTGTCATATCGGATAGGTTGATATAATATCATAAATGGAATCTTCACATACTTGATAATTATATTGTCTAAACATATGAAAAAGTACATATGAGAAGGTCTTCATTTTCACAAGCAACCACCAAGTTTTTGCTTTTGCATAGAAAACCAAATAGACACTAGAACAGCTTAACTGCATATGTTTAGACAATTCTTATTAAAGTATAATAATTATCCAGAATATAAAAATTACTAATACAATTCTTTATACACAACTTTATTTATTAATGTAAAGATTTATTAATTGTTCAATTTAAGAATTTATGTTATTATAAAAGTCACTTCATAATTTTACACTCAAAGAAAAAGATTACAAAAAAAAATGTTCACATACAAAGCGCGTGCATTATACTAGTAGGAAAAAAAAGAAAATTCTACTGAAATTGAAAATTAAACTCGTCATTGCTATTCTAAACTACTTAACTGCATCGACTAACAATTGCAGGATTTTTATTATATATCTGTCATTTCTCCAAACAAGAAACTAGTAAAACCGAAGTATATGTGCAACTAATACAAATAAATTCATGTGTTCTTATAGCCTTCCATTATAAAGAAAACACATGCAATAACAAGTAATTAAAACCTACATGTAGCACCCATATGGGTAGTGGATGGGAAACAATGTGAAACTTTACATAAATAGAAGGTGAAAGATATTGCAAATCATATGATTTCAACATGTCAATGTGAAACCGATATTTCTGAATTTTGGCCGATATTTGATGGCCGAAATGTCGCCCGATATATCCGCTATTTTCCGACATGTCCCCGACATGACATCAAAAACACCATACGCATTAAATTCAACAATTTCGTGGCGGCTAGGCTCCGAATCCGCAATATCGCCCGCCATGTCCGACATGGCGGCCGATATTTAAAACACTGGATAGGGGGTCAATGATCAATTTCGAGACTTACAGTTACGGTACTTTAAAATAGGGTTTTGATTGCCTATATGCCCCCCCCCCCTCAAACAAACAAACCCACCCAAACAAAAAAACATTTGCCGGTTTACCATCTAAATCTGACTAGTTGCAAATTGACCCCTACATTCCCTAAGCTCGGAATAATCTACCCCTCAAAATTTCTATAGAGAATATACCTAGTATAACTGTGCATGACTGTATTTGTATATTTCCTGTTACTAGATTTTATGCACGTGCAATGCACGTGGTTATATACTGTGATTAGGTATTTTTGGTTTATTTTCTTACTAAAATTTATTCCTCGGTTACTCTTTGATAATAATTTTTGCTCACTTTGATTAAGTATTTTTGGTTTATTTTCTACTAAAATTTGTTCCTCGATTACACTTTAATTATTTATTTATTTGATGTTTGTTTGAATAGGCTACATCCAGTTTAAATTTTTATGTTGATAGTTGAATTGTCATGAGATAAATATAATCTAAAGCCAATTTAAATTTTTATTTCATTTGGATCGGCATGAAACCGAGCTTTGACCTGAGGAAGTAGTGTTATGAAAGTGAAAACACTTAAAAAATAACATTATAAAAGGAAGATGAATAATAAAGGCAACGAGCCAAGATGATTGATTTAAAATGGGCTAAAATGACAAAAAATGGTTAATAAAAAATCATAAACTGAAGATTAATGCTAACTCTAGTACACTTTTATATGATAAAAACATCCACATATACATATGAAAGTACTAAAATAGTTTATGAAAATCTCTTCTAAAGTTTCCGAACTTTACTAAAAAATAAAACTATTCTATAATAATTCACAAAACATTATCTTTTGTTACTTCTATTTTATTTTTTATCGAGTCGAGATCAATCCTTCTTCATCTTTACCTTTTTCCTAGCCAATTCTAGAGTAGTAGTGTCTTCATCGTCTACATCAATTTTGATATGAGACTGGAGCATGTTATCTTTCCTTGGGCTCATACATCTTTTGTCTTCTCGTCTAAATTCACAAAGAAGTTGAATATATTTCTTATATTCAACACAAACTTCTGACAATACGGACTTTGATTTTTTCCTATTTCAATAAGAATAAATGTTAATTTCATATATATGAAATTTTTATGCTTATAATTTATTACTTAAATAAGGTTAGGAGCTACCTCTTTTTTCTCTGCAATGAATTCTTTTATTATGCATCCAATAAGAATTTTTGCTGTCATAATGTTACATTTGCTTTGTCTGTGTCATTTTCCATGAGGATTTGAACTAAATACATTAAATTTTCAATGTAAATTAGCTTTAGATTATAATATTAATATTTAATTTTGATATATTTATTTCAAGAAGGGATATCACTTAACCTTGGTACTAAATCATCGACGATTCTACAACATTTATCATCTGGACACTTATTATTAATATCTTTATCCACTTTCTTATTGCAGCCTTTACAAACATAAAAACATGTAAAAACACTGCTCAACTCTATTATAAATGATAGTTATTGTTGCCTTAAAGGTGCGATAGTGTCTGTATATTGATAAATTATTCTTAGATTTAATTGTATGAATTTTAGAGTAGGTTTCTAAGATCATACCTCTTTCAAATGTTATAATGATTGTATATATTAGTAATTTAAAATTTTGTTGCATTTATAAAGAGCCTTAATGAAGATGCTTTTGTCTTGACAGCTTACTCTAAAAGAGCGCTGCATATTAGCTTTAAAAAGTAATATTTTTTTTCTATACGGTGTTATATGGACGTTTGTTTGGTTTACTTAGTATTCTCTTATTTCTTCAGTAAGTTGTATATTTGGATTAATATATATTATTGACGCAATTTACGATGACATGCATATCTCCTCTATAAATTTGAGACAGATATAAGGTGAATTTTATATTTAGTGACATTTAATAAGAATTTTACTAATGAAATATACTACTTTCATACTTAGAGATCTTGAATTCTAATAGTGCTATTACATCATTATCTTTGATAATGTCTTTAAGAATTGATCATACGTTAGTAGTCATACCCCTAAATGAAATCACACGCAGGGTCGTGATACTATATAAGAAAAAGAAAAGGGCTGATTTCATATTTTTTGCTCACGCAAAGTATAGTAATTTTTATTTTATCTTCTATGAAGAATGTTTCTTTGATGAGCACAAAGTTGTTCAATATATTCTTCAGGGGGTATTCTCTTCTATGAAGAATGTTTCTTTGATGAGCACAAAGTTGTTCAATATATTCTTCAGGGGGTATTCAGTCGGTGTTTCTTTGATAAATATAACTTATGTTAGTTCAATATATTCTTCAGGGGGTATTCAGTCGGTGTTTCTTTGATAAATATAACTTATGTTAGTGTTAAATGAAGTGATTCATGGACGTTCCGAATTTCATTTGAAATGAAAACCGCTTGATTCTTTTGAAGGATATCTCTAAATTTTCTAATAGTTCTCCGTACATAAATCTTTATAATATTTTACCTAATAAATATTATTACCAATAGAGATCAATATTTATAAATTATAATCAATTAATGTTAAGCTATTATATTATAGTCTTTTATCAGTTTTGATCAATATTTATAAATTATAATCAATTAATGTTAAGCTATTATATTATAGTCTTTTATCAGTTTTTTGTGATTTAGTCTTCTATCAATTAATGTTTATCAGTTTTTTGTGATTTAGTCTTCTATCAATTAATGATACTTATGTATTTTTGGTGTTCTAACATTTTGGTAAAATTATATGCAGTTACTTTAATTTATACAATAACATTAATTTTAATCTATCATATATATTTTTAAATTTTTATTATTTAACTGGATATTTTTTATCTGTTATTATTACTATTTTTTACCAGTATCAACTTGACTATTTTCAGATTCTAAAAAGTGATAGTAAACCTTAAATTATAAATATTTATATATCTTAATGAAAAAATATCACACAATTACTCTTTTCTTTGCCAAGTTCTAAATTTTTAGCTTTTTACTTTGTGTAATTTTAAACTTTTGAGAGTATTTTGTCTAATTTTCAAAACTTTTTGGTTTTTTTTTGTAATACTTCATGTAATAAACTGATAGTACGGAGATGTTTCATATATTTTATTAATATTATTTAAATTGTTGAGCTATAGATAGTTTTTGGGGTTTTAGGATAGGATATAAGTATGATTAGTATATATTATAATTTAAATTAAATATTTAAAATAGTACAGTGTAATCTTGACTATGGAAAGCTTTTCCTGAACTCGTGCTTTTAAAGGGAGTATGATTTTTTATTATTCTTAATTTTTCTTTTTTATAATTTTGAAAATAACTTTTGTCTTTTTAATTTGTTTGGTGGGTTTTGTAAATATCTCATCCACATTATGTACATTTGTAGGTCTACGTTGTTCCCAGGTTCGACCTTTAGGGGACATTATTTGTCTCATTAATTTATTTGTTTTTTACATATACGCCCTTTATTTTGTAGACATTTATAAATTTGGTATTTAATAATTTTATTTAGATTTATATTTCAATTTAAATTGTATCCTTATCTTCATACTATGTATATCCAATAAGAATTCATCAATTTATCAACTTACTCTTACTTAATAAAATAATATTTGAATTCCAATGATATTTTTGTCTACCGAAAGATTTT